GAAGAGAACTGAATTTTTCACATGAATTGAGTTTTGCATAGTTAATGACTAGTCTAAAATAAATTATTTAAATATTACGTTCTAAGTACACAAATATATCTCAAATATAGAGCCAACTGCGTAAGAAACCTAAATAGTGAATTTGTAGTTTTTAGGGATTTTTACATTTACTTAAATGACATTTACCCAGAAAATACTGATATGAAGAGAGGTCAGTGTTCCTTCTATGCACCATTGACCTTTCAAAGCTTTACTCAGATAAATAAAATAGTAGCTTTGCCTAGTCTTATATTCTCAGAGTGAATATAAAATTATGACTGTAAAATTCAGATTTTTCTCTCTCTCCTCTTTCCTAAAGTGTGTGTATGTGTGCAAAATATATTTATTTACATAGGGGTTTTGCTTTTTTAAAAAAAATTGGGATTTCCAATTTATAGAGTCAGACCACTAAAGCACTCTTGGCGTTTCAAAACATGCAGACCCACTGCTCTGTGCACACATAGGGTGGGAACAGAGCACTCCTGTGCCCTCTGGCTGGGAAGCACACATGCCAGCACTTGCACTTTGGGCTTGTTTATGTGCCATTGCAGAACGTGGAAGATAACATAAACTTCCTCTGTTAGGATACATCAAGCACACGCAAACTCTTCTTCCTTTTCACCCTGCCTACCAGCAAAAACTTGCATGTGCAATCAGCAGCAATTACCTTGCAAGTCATCAGTGCTACTACAACCTATTTTCACCACGTTCATTCCATTTTTGGTTTTGCGCTCGGTAGGAAGGTCTTCCCCGGAGCCAGAGCTATTTAAAATTTAAAAATAGACTCAAAAGAAACAAAGGGAAAGCAGGGAAAGCCATTTGTGTTTCCATACTGGAGGTAGGATTGTGGAGTGGAGGCTGGCACCTCGCCTTCAGCCTGCACACACTGCAGAGCCCAGCTTGGCTCAGCTCTGCTCAGGGCAAACTGCAGCAGCCTGGCTGGGTTCAGTGCCTGGTGAGAGAGCTGCCTGCATGCTCAGGTTCTCAGCAAGCATACACAGTGCAGAAAAAAACAGAGAGATTTGAGAAAAAGTTCAGGTGAAACTTTTCTGTGGCCACCCTTTAGGCAGCCCCTGTGCTTCTTCCTACAATCTCTGATCTCTCTAGGTTGGGTCTCCATGAGTCACATTCTTTCCTCCTGCTCCAGTCCCACCAGTGTTTCTAGCCTTCCTTATTGTGCAGCATGTCAGGCAAAAAATGAGAACTCCAAATGAATTAACTATTTTTTATTATTTACCTGGTTTGCAGGACTAAGTAATTTGAGCACATTTTTAACAGGCTACTTTATCCTTTTCCATTTTTCCTGTTATGATCACCAACCTGTTATTTAGTAGCTCAGCTTTCAGAGATTCAGAATAAAAGATGGAACATTTCAAAACCTACTATAGCCCATCAGTGCTTACAAAATAACATACAAATCTTAAGGTCAAAAGCATTGACATTTTGGGAAGGATAAATCAGATGTATAAAAAGAAAATGTAGCAGAATAAAATTCTCCCTTTGCTCTTCTTTGCAGAAGATGGAGTTCTTATTGAAAGTGTAACCAAAGTCCATGACAAAACGTCCTGTTACCTTGACAGGCCCAGGTATTACATTATGAATCATAGAATCATAGAATCTTAGGGGCTGGAAGGGACCTTGAGAGATCATCTAGTCCAACCCCCCTGCCAGAGCAGGGTCACCTAGAGTACATCACACAGGAACTCATCCAGGTGGGTTTTGAATGTCTCCAGTGAGGGAGACTCCACAACCTCCCTGGGCAGTCTGTTCCAGTGCTCTGTCACTCTTACAGTAAAAAAATTTTTTCGGATATTCACCTTGAACCTCCTATGCTCCAATTTACACCCATTACCCCTTGTCCTATCACTGGTCATCACTGAGAAAAGTCTAACTCCATCTCCCTGACACTCACCCCTTACATATTTGTAAACATTGATGAGGTCACCCCTCAGTCTCCTTTTCTCCAAGC